GGTGTGCCCCCCCGTCCTGCCTTATCCCACGCCTGTCACTTCCTTTGGTGTCTGCCCCACTCGATGTCTTAGTTTTCCTCTTTGTTCATCCTACTGTCCTTCGTCCCCCAAGGGCCAGGCACTAGCACTCTAAGATGTCCCTGTCCCGGGACCAGGATGCAGGTGGCGCTGGGGTCCAGGAAGAGTCTGAGATGATGCCTTGGGTGGGGAGGGGGGTGTCCAGCTCCTCCCTGGCCATCGCCCAGCTCACTCCCACCCCACCCTCTCCAAGCCGCCAGAGTGCTCACACGGGGCTGTTTCTAACTCCACCGGGCTTGTCTGCCCAGCCTCACTTGGGAATCTACTTGGAGCTGAGTCCCCCTCGTGTGGACCCCACTCCTGTGGACACCACCGTGCCCCTGGGTCTCTCTTCAGGGCTTTGCCTGCTCTCTGCCACACCCCACAGAGCTTGGGCCCTTCCCTTACCCAAGGGCCCAACACCAAGGAGGACGCCTGGGGGGAAGGGGTGGGCTGGCAGGGACTACTGCTTCAGTAGGGGGACAGTTAGGGGCCAGCAGAGCCACCGCTCTCCCCAAGCGGGGGAGAGAGGGTTGCCTCCTCCACCTCTGTGTCAGGGGAGGGTGTGTGAGCAGGACAACTGCTTCTGCCCCACGCCCCCAGCTGTGGCCCCAGTCCTGGCCACGCGGCAAGCTCCGCGGGCCTCCACTGCGGACAAAGCACCCACCGTGGAAGCGGGGGCCGTGCCTCAAAGGTGCGCGCTGGGCGCTGGAGGAAGCTTCCACTCCGATTCTGGCTTAGCCTCAGACCTGGCGCTAGCTGCCCGCTCCTTCCCCCTCTCCCCCCACCCCCCCATGCGCAGAGCCCCAGGGGTCTTCTGAAGGCTCAGTGACTGGGGACGGAGGGGAGGGAGGTCTCAGCACAGCAGCCCGAGGATCGGGAGAACGGCGGTCCCTACCCGTCCAACACAGCGAGGGCAAACCAGAAAGCCGCGTTCATGGCGGGCATCGCGGGCCAAGCACCATCGAATGGAGGGACAGCGGGGCCAGGCGTTCCTAATCGCAGAGGTGGGGACAGAGCCAGGAAGGGAGGACGAAGCTGCCGAGCCCGCTGCCGAGCCCGGCTCCAGCGAAGGCGGCTCCCCTCCTGTCCCCTGCCGCTGCCCCTGAGACTGGGGCTCCCAAAGGCCCAGGGCTGCGGGCAGGGGAGGAGCCACTGACAGGGTACAAGCTGCTCTTGGCGCGGGGCCTCCCTGGGAGACCCCTGAGGCCGAGTCCAGGCAGGCGCTGGACGCAGTCCCCCGCTAATCAATCCTGAAACGAATTAATGGGGTCAAGTAAAGCCCAGCCCCCCTCTGTCTGCGCCGTGGGTGACGCAACCTGGTTCTACTCCGCTCGGTTCTCTGATTCCTAGGGGAGGGGGGTCCCAGGGCACCACGGACTCACATCCTGTGGGCTGCCTGCACAGACCCATCTGCGCTGCTTTCGCCCCAGATGGCCCGGCACCCGCTGGGGGCCGGGTGGTGTGCGCCTCGTCTGGAGGAGACTTCAGGGCAGGGCGCAGGGGGCCCTGTGCCTGCCAGAGATGCATGCGTAAGGGCGCGCAGGTCCCTCCACGGCTGGGAACAAAGAGGCCGGAGTGAATTCTGAGCGGTGAACGCGGCGCCGTGGACGTGCCCTTACAATGGACTGAGAGCGAGGAGAGGGGTCCCCGCCACAAGAATGTGAGGGTGCCCGACTTGGTGCGCTCTGAGGAGGCGGAGCTGGGCGGGCAAGACTCTCCAGGGGCCGCCTCCCGCGCGCTGGGGAGAAAACGTCCGAAATAGGGCTTGAAACAGGGCTCGCTTTAGTCGAAACTCGGAAGATGCTGGGGGAAGGCGGTAGCGAGTGAGCCGAGGCGCAAGGCTCCCCGCGCAGTGCCGGGGCCCCACGTGGGACCCTGCGCCGGGAGAAGCCCAGCTGCGGTCCTGTCCCGGCCTAGGGGGGGCCACGGCCTCCGCCCCCGCCCGCCCCTGCCGCCTCCTGCCCTCCGCCAGACTGCTGGTTCCCACTCTGGACCACCGGCAGCCAGCCAAGCCCGAGCCTCGGTTTTACGGCCTGTAAAATGGTCTCATAGCGCCTACCTCGCAACCAGCCGGCCGGCGCGGCGACATGCGGGTCTGGTCTTCACTCTTCGTCCCAGGCGGAGGGACGCGCCGCCAAGTCCAGGCCGCAGCCGCGCGCCGCGCTCCGAGGAGGCTGACCCCGAGCAGCTCCCGGCCCCCTGCCTCGATTTGCCCTCCTGCCCCGCGCAGCCGGGCCTCGGACCTCCCGGTCATGGAGGCGCGGCCGGCAGGGGGAGCGAGGCGGAAGGGAGCCGCGGCCCGTCCAGGTGAGGGATGGAGCCGTCCTGCAGGCAGCGGCGCGGCGCGCGCGGGACGGGGTGTGCGGGGCGCGGGGCCACTCGCGGGCGCATTCCCTTTGGGCTGCGGCCTGTACCAGAGGAGGGGTGGGCGGCGCGAACGGCTGGGAGCCGGGGCGGTTGCCGGGCGGGGGAGCGTGGCGGAGCGGGAGGGCGGTGCGGCCCAGGAGGGACCTCGGGGAGATCGCCGGAGCGCAGCCCCGCTGGGCGGTGGAGGCAGCAGCCCTGCCCCGGGCTGGAGGCTCGGGCAGCCTTGCGCCTCCGGCCTCTTTGGGCTCCTCCAAGTCGAGGGCTGCGGGAGGGCCCGCGCATGGAGCAGCGGGGTCCGGGGTTATGCAGTCGCGCGGGGTCAGAATCGGCAGCGGGTGGAGCGAGTCGCTCAGCGAACGGAGCAGAGCAGCCCGGGTGGGGCCTCTCACACCGACCCAGCACCCTGTCGTGGACCACGAAGAACTTTCTCTGCTCTGAAGCTTTTGACAAAACAGCCGGCCCCTGGCAGGTCCCAGTTTGAGCAGGAAGGGGTTAACGAGGGCTGGAAGGACCCCCTCTCCCCTCCACCACCTCTGCCCTGGAGGGTCAGGGACCTCAGGATGCGCCCCAGGGGGCTGACCCAGTCTCCAGGAAGGCCCAGGGTTTTTCACTTTCACTTCTCCCTTCTCAGTGTTGGTGTCACCCTGGGACTCACTGGGCCGCCGCCTTCAGGTGTTCGCCCAGATACACGAGGAAGGCTCCCCCAGGTTCGGGGGACACCACCACTGGCACCCCGTGTGCTGGGACAACGTGCATCCAGACAACTCACAACCACAGGCAGGAGCCCACCCCATGGAGCCCCCACATGGGGACCCACACATAAATGGTGGGGGGGTATAGCTACCAGCAAAAGGTGACACGGTGACACCGCCCTGCACATCTCTGGGTGTGAACCGACAGCACTGGGCTCAGCTCCTGCAACACTACTCGACCTGCCACCACCAGTGTCCCCCGCCCCCTGTTCTGGAGGCAGGGTGCTGGCCCTGCTCATCAAGGAGGCAGAGGGGAGCCTGGCTAGTCCCCTATCACACTCCTCCTTGGACCTGGCCCTAGGTCCCACAGGTCACTGTCCCTGTCACAGCCCTGAAGGACCCCTCAGGGCTGGGGACGTTCCCTGCTATCAGCGTCCCTTCACTTCCACAGCCCATAAAGCCTGGGTGGGGGGGTGCGAGGGGCTCACTGCGCATGAAATCACACACAGCACTACCCACATGCTCACCCACTGGCCTCACACTCTTTCCTGGACCTCAGGCCCCAAAGTCAGTTGCTTCCCATTGGAGCCTAATCCCTGGTCCCCAGTTTCCTGGGCCTTCCCTGCCTCCCAGCCAGCACCCCCTGCAGCCTAGGGTCTGAGGCCCTGGGATTGTAAAAACCCGGAGGAGAGACTGCCGGCCCCCTACCCCCATCCAGACAAGCACAGGCAAATGATGTGGTTGCAGGCGGAGAGGCCTTGGAAAGGAGGCCCTGACTGCCAGAACCTTAGTGCAGGACCAAGAGGCTCCTGGGAGGCACGGAGGCTTGCGAGGGAGACCCTGGACTGGAAGGCCATGGAGGCCTGTTATGGTCAGAGGAGGCCCCAGAAGCAGTAGGTAGGAGAAGGCACAAGCTAAGCCAGGCCTTTTCATCCCATTTGCCTGTGCCTAAGGGCCTTGAGACCTCAGGCAGGCCCTGCCTCACTGTGTTGGGCCTAACTGCCCCAGGCGGGCAGGCTGACTGTGGAGTGGGTTGCAGCGAGGGGCAGCACACCACCGAACTGGGAGGCCTGAACTCCCTACGTGTCCTCAGCTCCCTTGGCCAGTCCAGGCTCCGCCCCCGGCCCTCCCTGCGCCTGGCCGGTGCGCAGGGAGGTCAGAGGAGCGGGCACTGCCCACCCTCCGGATGTATAAGCGTCCTGGCCAGAGGCGGGCGGTGTACGCGGGTTGCGCGTGACGCTGGGACTCCCGGGCTGCGCAGCCTGGGCGGTGTCCCTCTACTTGGGGTCCCCAGCCACAACAGTGAGCCAATCGAAGGGGGCCAGGGGCATTTGCTGGCCTGGGTACTGTCCTGCTTCGCAGAGGCCGTGTTGGAGCCCGAACTGCCCTCTCCTTACCCAGGTGCAGGGGCAGCCAGGGAGGAGGCAGGAGGGGCTGAGGGCAGGGGCAGGGGCTGGGCTGGGCCCAGGCGGCCCCTGGTGTTTCATCCGTGCTCCACTGCCTTGGGCTGGGGCTGAGTGCTCCCGGTATAATCACCTTCCCTCTGGGGCTGTAGAAGCTGACGGAGAGAACCCTGGCCTCAGTGGGAGCAGTGGGATGTCTGAGGGGCCCTGGTCATGGAGGTCCCTGGGAGCAGAGGCGAGGGGCCAGGAACTTGAAAAGCAGAAGGGCCCTGTGCTCTCAGGGCGCCCCACCCGGCTGGGCCCCTCGGCTGCCACTGGTCGGGAGTGGGGGGCCGTGACGCCATAATCCCCTGGGTCCGGGCTAACGGCTGTGAGTGGCACCGCAGGCTCCCGCCCCCGGTTCCCGTGGGCTGGGCCGGCCTCGGTGCGGCTGGGTGCACGCAGTCGGAGGCGGCGCCGGCCAGGCCGCCGGGCGCCTATGGACGCGCGGAGCCCGCTGTCTCCCCGGGCCAGCGCGTTCAGCATCGCCTCTCTGGTTGCAGCAGAGGCCGCAGAGCGTGCCGCCCGCCTGGGCCCCGGGTCCCCCAATCGGGCGAAGCTTCACCGGCTGCTGGAATCCCCGGCCGGGATGCACTTCAGCACCGTCACCAGGGACATGGAAGGTGAGCCTTCCCGCAGCGTCTACGCCGACCGCCCTCCAGATCCTCTGCCACTGCTGCCCCAGAGAGGGTTGGCAGGGCTGGCAGGGCTGGGGCACGGAGTGGGTGGGAGGGGACCTCTGGCAGGGTGGGCTCCAGGCTTCCAGCTTCAACTCTGGGGCAAAGGAAGGGCAGGCATCCTGCCCGAAGCCAGTGCACCCTCCAGCCTGGGGACCCAGCTACAGAGACCTGCACAAAGCTAGACCCGGGCCCAGAAGCGGTGAGCGGAGGCGGGAAGGACAGGAGCCGGGGGCCAGAGAAAGGCGGCGGAGGTAGTAGCCCTGAGCTCGGAGAGGTGGGATGAAAGTACAAGGAACAAGGGGAAAGGAGAAAGAGAAAGACGCGAGGCAGCCAGGAGGAGGGGAAACTGAGAAAAGAAGAGAAAACACAGAAAACCCGAAAGGAGGGTAGGGAAAAAGAGAAAGAAGAAAAAGAGAGGGCAAGAACAAAAAGAAGAAAGTGAAGGACATTTTAAGAAAGTCATTTAAAAAGAAAAAGTTAGAGAAAAACTTCAGTTTTAATTTTTTTAAAAAAAGAAAAAAGTAATGAATAACAAAGAAAGATATACAGAAACAAGAGGGAAAAGGCAGACTGAAAAGAAAAAGAGTGATGAAAAATGAAGTGGAAAGAAAAGACATAACAGGAAAAAGAGGAAGAGGCAGGAAAGCAAACAGAAATAAAGAGAAACGAAAGAGATAGTGGAGGAAGGAAAGACGAACAGGAGGGAAATTTTAAATGATCAAGACAAAGGTAAAAAAATAAATAAACTGGAAAGAGAGCCTGGACAGAGAAGGGAGAAGTGCAACACGGGAGGGCGGCAGAGCGAGGGGCGGCGGACGGCCGGCGCTCTGGGGAGCCGGTCCGGTCGATCGATATGCCCGGATCTATATATACATATAGATATATACAGATATATATATACATATATATATATATATATATATATATATATATATATATATATATATATATATATATATATATATATATATATATATATATATATATATATATATATATATATATATATATATATATATATATATATATATATATATATATATATATATATATATATATATATATATATATATATATATATATATATATATATATATATATATATATATATATATAGATATATATATATATATATATATATATAGATATATATATATATATATATATATATATATATATGTGGACATATATGTAGATATATAGACATCTCTAGATATATATATATATATGTGCATAGGGATGCATATATATATATATATATATATATATATATATATAGGTAGATATACAGATGATGGGATGCAGGGTCACATGGTTACAGTATTATTAATTTATATGAGGAACCTCCATACTGTTCACCATGGTGGCTGGACCAGTATCTTTCCCACCAGCAGTGAATGAGGGTTCTTTTTTCTCCACACTTAAATTCTCCTAGTACTCAAAATGGATCAAAGACCTAAATATAAGACCTGAAACAATGAATACACAGAAGAAAACATAGGTACTAAACTTATGGCCCTTGGT